CAGCACTGCACTCCAAACTTCAGCAGGCGCGGTATAGGCAATTTGCACATCGGAACCAGTGCGTAAAGGTGTAGCGTTGGAAGTTTATTCGAGATGTTGAAGGCGCTGAACAGTGAACAGACATTGTGCACGGGCGGCGCGACCGGCCTGCCTTTCGTAAGCCTTTTGTTGCCCACAATTATTTGAATACACAGGGTCGGCTTCCCGGTTCCTTATCGTGTCGACAACCGGCGCACGGTGAATCGAGTCAATAGGAGAGGTCGGACGAAATTTGGAAACTTTAAAGGCTTATAACTTTTATAGAAAACTTTGAGATTCTAAAACTGGTTTCATTGGTTTCCCCGTGAAATTTTCTTTTACACGGAGAAAAAACCTCGTGCGTGGGACCAGAAGTTTAGGTCATATGGATCTCTGAAGTTTTCGGATTGAGCATCTGAACACTTTAGATCTAGCTGTCGAGGTTCGGATCACACATCTGAAACTTCAGTTCTTATATCTGAAGTACTTCAGATGTGAGAACCGAAGTTTTTCGGATGTGAGAACCGAAGTTTTTCGGATGTGAAACCGAAGTACTTCAGATGTAAGAACTGAAGTTTCAGATATGTGATCCAAACCTCAGCAGCTGGACCTAAAGTGTTCAGACGCTCAATCCGAAAACTTCAGAGATCCATATGACCTAAACTTCGGATCCCACGCATGAAGTTTTTTTCTCCGTGTAGAAGCACCACTTACAATTTGAAATATGACAAATTAAACATCAAAATTTGCAGTTTTTGTCAAAAATTTCATGTCCGGCCCCTCTGATTGACTCCATCGACTGTGCGGCGAGTGGGCCGAGGGTGATTGAGAAAAAAATTGTCCGTTTCGGATTTTGGTTCTCGGTAGAAATTCTGAAATGCAGTTGACAATTTCTGGTCAATCCGTTGATTTTTAAAAGTGCCCGAAAGTGAAAGCACGAAAAACCACAATTTTTATCTAAAAAATGGGGACGGGTGTGCAATGCACCTTCCAGTAATCGACCCGAAATTTTTCTCAGGTCTATTCTTGTCGCCTATCTTCCAGAAATTCTACTGGGGAACCATAATTCGGGACCGAAAATGTCTTCTGAATCATTCTAGGGTGGGCTTTTCTTAAAAATAACTTACTGGGGTCGAACTGCTGAGCATGAGCTTCTAAAGGTACTAGAGTCAATAGAACTATTCAACTGCCCATAATAAACAGGCATAGCTGGATGATAGTTTAATAATCAGGCAGGTAAAGGTGCATGGTGTCAACAAACAGAAAAATATCTCCCTTATAAGTGCAATTAAAAAATTAAGTCTACGGGAGAGGTTTGGGTCACGTATGGTTAGATTAGGTTATAGTTTAGGTCAGGACATGTACGGTTAGATTAACAGGTAAGGACAGGTAAGGTTAAAACTAGGTAGGGTATAAGGTCGGGGGAAGTCAAGTTCTGTGGGTTAGGTCTTGTATGATAACGTTGGATTAGAGTAAATAGCACAAGAAAAACAAGACTTGCAATTTGAAAGATGTCGTTGAGGGAAGTTTTAAGTTTCGTTGACGCCGTGATCGTTGACACCGCGACCAAATTTCACAGGAGTCAGAATTTTTTATTTTTAGATGATCATGGTGTCAACAGAAACTTAGAAAAACTGTCTATTGACACCATAATCATCCAAAAGTAAAAAATTCTGAATCCATAAAATTTCTGATCGTTCACACCATGCAACTTAATTCTGCTACATATTCAACATACCTCAGAATTTTCGACAGCATTTTTCAAGGTCATGCAATGGAAAAAAAAAACACATTGGATCTAGAGTCCAGACTCTTGAAAACATTGACAAGAAAGAATACCTACTCTTGATTCAATCGGATTTTTGCTTAGATCAAGAACCAAGCCTCTTAATTTGAACGGATTTCCTTTTGATTCAAGCAAAAATCCGATTGAATCAAGAGTATTCTTTCGTCAATGTTTTCAAGAGTCTGGACTCTAGATTCAATGTTGGCGCGTATACGTAGTATACCGCCTTTGCGATCGTTTCGAACCCTGCTCGATACAATAACCGAGTCCCTTAGTTCCTTACCGAAAAGTGACTACCGCGAACTTCTGAGATTTTCCAATGCGTGTAAAAAGTTTATTTATCCGTCAATAATTATGATTTAAAGTTGTTTCTCATTCTGGGGCTCGCTAGTTTATGTGCAGTGAATACCAAGAGTCTACGTTACTTGGTTTTTTTAAAAAAAGCCTAAGAGTAGGGCGCGCTGATTTAAAATATGCATATATAAGCGGAAGCAAGCGAACTGATTCGAGGATGGCTGACCAGTTCGGCACTCCTTGAATGAGAATTTCCCTCACTCCGTTTTGTTCAAAACGTTGCTTTGACATATCTCCACACCACTGTTATCCTTTTCAAAAGTTGGTACTCCTTGCTCTGATAGCCGGGGCCAGCAGGATAGTGGTAAGTGCAATCTGTGATGAGCCTCGAGACTCATTAGACCATTTGCTAAACGTGGCTCATACAGGAGTCCACTCAGCCCTCTCTTCCCCACGCTCCTGATCACTGCGTCGGCGTCACGAAGAACAATAGGCCTTGGGCCGCCTTGGGTCCCAACGCGGCCGATACCCGTACCCCAATTACTCACGCTTCATTAACCATTTCACCGTCACGCTAGGATTCATCCAATTTTCAAAAAAAATTGTTCCGCGTGTATTTAGCAATTTTTTCCTTACTCTCCGTTAAAACACAAATAAAAAGAGACCTCATTCATAAAAATCGGCCGAATAGAAGAGAAGTTACAGTAATCGAAATCCGAAGAAATCAACAAAACCTCGACTTCTCGATACGAAAAATAAAATGAAGGGGAAAAAAAGAAAGTATAAATTACAATTAAATATAATTGACCTCAGAATTTGACAAGCAATTCATTTATATACCTAACGCTGAAAAAACTGGGAGAAATTACAAAAAATTCGCCTCTAGCAAGGGGCTTCTTTGTAAGAATTTTGACCTGAAGACAACGGTCGAATAACAGCAGTTGCAGTACTCCATACAATACACGGTGTGCCTGAACGAGTTAAACATTTTTTATACGTCCAAATCGAAAAATCTTTATATTTTTAACTACAATGTCTCTTGAATCGTTTAAGCCAAAAAAAAAAAAAATTCCGTCGAGATTCTGGAACGTAAAGGCGCTTTAAAAGTATTCTGGGGCTATAATAGCTAAATCACCGGTAGTAAATCCCGTTATATTATTAAAAAGAAATCGACTCCATAGTTTAATGCCTTAGTTTCTTGAATACGATGATTTTAAGCACTTAAACATTTATACCACCAATTTTAGCCATGGGGTGATTTCCTGAGAGCCGATAATATCACGAATTTCTCATAGAACCCTTCAACAGTGGCTTGCGTTTTTGGCAGCCGATTCGGCCATCGAACCGGAGTGTAAATGGAAGCTGATAATAACCCAAAGCTCTGAGAAAAATTTTGAGATGAGTATAAGAACGGTTTGTTGTAAGTAACGAGGAGAGGCGGGCAAAGCGGCTAGAATCCGATCTAATTTTTACAGTTTTTCTGTTGAATTAATGTTGCCGCGGGCTTCTGACTGTGTCCACACATAGTTTCTGTTCAGCATATCGATACATAAGTATTTACACACGTAGAATCTAATTTTCACGTCGGGGAGTCGACATATTTTGATTTTTTCGATTTTATACGGAAAATTGATGGTTTTTCGGGATTGAAATTATTATTGTTTCATGAAAAATAAATGCACCCAAAATGACTATAGCATATTGATTTTTATACATTTGCACTCACGAAATTGGTTGGTAAATTCAACGAGTGGGTGCATTGATCTGGTATATCAAGTTTCTGCAATTTTTTACGGCAAATCAGTAGATTTTCGGGATGTAGATTGCTTACTTTCAATTCATGAATGAATAAAGCAACGACATGGTTGAACTTCTTTGCATGGAAAGACGTTTAAAATAACAAAATCAAGACGTATTTAATGCAATTGCATTTACATCGAGTCAATTGCTTTTCAATAATATAACGGGATTTTTACTACCGGCGATTTGGGTATTTTAGCCCCAAAAACACCTTTAAATCGACTTTTTCTTCGCTTAAATTATTCCGTAGTACTTTTCTTCAAGAATCTGATAAGATTTTGCTTGAGGCAGATCAAAAAACTTAAATTCGATCGAATAGCTTTCTACTTCCACAATACACGGTCTCGTCAAGGTGCGTCTTTGACCTCGCAGTGTTGGATCGTGAATTCTCTTTTTATGCTGTTTGCCTATTTTGAAATCTCTGTAAATGAAAACTAAAGGGGTTGATATGTGCGAGTTAATGACGCGCCTTATCAACACATTGTGTTGGAGTTCACTGCTTGTTTTTTTTTTGTTTTTTTTTTCCAGTGTGAGCTATAATTCTTCAAGTCCACCTCTGAACTCCTAAGGCTTGAAAGAGCGTTGCAGGGACTTAAACGCCTGTTTAGGAATGTAAACTGCACGTACTCCACTCCTTGTGGCTTAGGTCAGCGTCAAAATCAAAGGAATACGGGCCAACAAACATAGCTTCTTAGAGTCGCCTTTTATGAGAGTAGACCCTGATAGAATCCTTTACCTGATTCCATATAGGATAGAACATCGAACTTCTCAACGGCACAGTTCTTAGCAGTGTAGCAAGTTTCATATTGTATTTGGCGTAGAAGGCACATAGGAAACCTTATTTCAAAGGCAAAGAGAGTCAGCTCGTTGAGAGCAGTTACATGGATTTCTAAAAAAAAATCACCTCGAGAGAAATTTTATTATAACAACTTCATTTTCAAAATCAATAAGTTTATTCTCATTGATACCTCATTGTATGGCAGACTTCAGGATATCTGGGAGGGACTAATTTGACATTAACGTCCAGATTTTTTAAGATTTTCACCGAATGATCAAATTAGAAAATAAAAAAAGAGAATTAAAAAAATAAATAGATACATGATGCAGTTTTTTAAAGTAAAATAAAGTGATTCAAGAGTACTATTACTTTAATGAATAAAATAAAATAAAAGTAAGGAACAAATCTAGATCATACATACTTATGTCAGTACAGACATGCATGAAATTCAAAATTGAATTATTTTAACTGAATTTTCGAATGAAAAGTTACAGCTCGCAGCTTTTAAAGGCCGCTATGGCTGCAAAACCATTAGACATAAAAAAGAAAAGGTATCTATCGGCCGGGCCAGACCTGATGGTGTTTCTAAATTCCAAAATTTGGCAAAGTGCGTAGCTCCCAATTCAATGTTACAATATATTTTTCAAATCACTCACTCTGCAGAGCACGTTCTCAGTAAAATTTTCTCTCATTAAATCACTTTACACAGGACGTGTTCTGTATTTCAGATATATCTGAAATACTGAAGCTATAGCTTCACTTTAAAAAAAGAAGAAAAAAACATAAATATGCAGAGAATTTACTAAAACTGATCAAAAACTAATTTCAAGATATTTAAAATATCTTGAAACGTGCACGGTTGAAATTAGTTTCAAAACACGGAGATGACACTAGATCCTTCCAAAATCCATAACGGGGGTGCAGTTGAAAATTTTGCGAGGGGACAAAAGGAGGGGGTCCAGCTCAACAAAAACCTTATTTCTTTCTCTACTTACGATGTTGTATAGGAATTAAAACCGCGATTTCCGAACCTAAAATCATTAAAATCGTAATTTTTTTAAGCTTTTAATTTCTACAAGCCTTTTCCAACGATGGATTGCTCACTTGCTCAGGGTCTCAGTAAGTAGAGAGTAAAAATCCGCGAGCACCTTATTCACTGAAATAAATGGTTAAAGGCCTCTTTCTTAATGTAAAAAAGTGGACTCGATTCAAAGAGTTTTTTTCCTTAATACATTTTTTTTAAACGAAGAAATTTTCTTAAATTTAAATAATTTTTTTTTTTTTATTATTCAAAGGCAAATGAACTTGTCATTGATGACAAAGTAACGTCTCTGTAGATTAAAAAAAAACCATTCATTTCACTAAGTAACAAAAATGTTCCTTAAATAAAAAAAATCGAAGTCATATTGCTACTCTTCCATGGTGTAAGTCGCTTTTACATCTCACTCTTCCGGGAAATCAGACAGAATGTCAGCGTAAATGTCATTGACTTGTCTCGAGGAACCGCTTTGAGTGGAGCATACCATGGCAGCTTTCGGTCGTAAATGAATTTTATCCGTATATAGCATGATTCTAAAAAAATAAAAATGGACACAAAGGTGTTAAAAACGAAGCAGATTACATTTTTCCACCCACCTAAACATCTAAGAGGTCATGCAGTAGCATCTTAATCTCAGTTGACTACCTCATTACGACGGCAACCTGCTTTCTCTATTTTTCTCCTTCTTTTTTGGCGTCTGTTTTTATTTGTATGAAACACATTTTTTCTGTAACTAACAATGTAAAAAATGGTCTGCATTTGATAGTGGATACTTAAGTTATTAGTAATTAGGAACGAAGTTCAGATTCATGGGTGGGAATTATTTCCTCTCTCTCCAGTCTCCAATTTTTGAAAATGGATCGCCCCTATCTTTTCCTGCCTCTCCCCTCCTTTCCATGTATCTCTCCTCTTATCTGATGCTTCTAAAAGGATCCTATAATGTAAAAAATAGTAGTTTCTTAATTTTTTTGGCAATGTATGATGTTTTCAAAACTTACCCTGGGACGTAAGCGCAGTTGACGCTGCAAATGTTCAATTTGATTGTTTCTGGAAGTTTTGCGATAGAACTCAGATTTGCAGTATTTTCAAATTCAGTGCCAAGGTTAGCGATCACAATGATGGTCGGATGTCCCGGTAGTGATCTAAATCCAACAAAATGGACAAAACGTTTTCAAACTTTGTAGCAGATTGATTTGTAAGCTCATTACTGTACGTATAATTTAACAGCAACTGGCTATTATGAGTAACACAATTATGACGGACCAAACTAAGAAAGGGTGATTCATTGATAAGATGGCGACATTTAGACGGAATATTTACAGCAGAACGCTATACACAGGGTGTCCCGGATACCAGTATTTATAAATACGGGTCAGTTTGACCCTACTTGAAACTTTGCGTACAAAAAAAGTCATGGGGTAGCTATAGGTAGAATAATGCTTTTAAGATACACTGAAAAAAAAAAACAAAACAAAACAAAAAACAAAACAAAAAACATATAGGATCTAGAGTCCAGACTCTTGAAAACATTGACAAGAAAATGGACTCTTGATTCAATCAGATCTAAGCTGAAATCAAAAGGAAATCCGCTCAAATTAAGAGGCTTGGTTCTTGATTTAAGCTTATTGAATCAAGAGTATTTTTTCTTGTCGATGTTTTTAAGAGTCTGGACTCTAGATCCAATGTGTTTTTTTTTCCAGTGTACCTACGCCTGTTTTGCATTCAGGTATGGGTGTGACATATGACGGATGAGACTGTCTACTAGTAAAATATTCCATAGATTTTCAGCCATGCATATAGTTGACTTGTTTCTCCTCGAAAAAATAAAATGGTAGCAGAGATTTTAAAATACCGTAATGGAGGTTCCGCACTTCAGCCATCGATAAATAGAAACCGCGATTGCAGTGATTCTGTGCGTCATAATTACCTTGTAATAACGAGGACCCATTTTGTCAAGGCGTATACTTTCAAGTTTCCGAACTGAATAACCGGTGCCTCTTTCAATGCGACCAGCTTTTGGTAGTTTTTGAAGTGGCTTCTTTTGTTTCTTTTTTCTGTCTCAAGATTATGCGTCCAGTAACGAGGATTCACAGGTAACCAGGTCTTTTTGTTTTTTGAGAAGCCTAATTGAGAAAAAAATCCAGAATTAGAAAAAAAACCCATCTATAACTGACTAAATTTGTAAATAATATATTGAAAGTTTGTATTCATGAGATAATCCTGCGAGCCACATTCTGTTGCCTAAGTTGGATAAAAAAAAAAAAAATCATAATGGTGGAGTGAGAGCAAGAGAGATAGAATGCCTTCGGAAGGAGCCTAAAGTCATTCTGATGCCCTTTGATTTCCATCGATAGAAGCATGAGTGACTTCCGTTCAGTTCCATGCCATAATACTAACAAATTCATGACTTAAAGTTGAACTTATTTTTATCGGGCTGCATTATGTTGATGAAATTACCTTTCTCCCGATCACTTTTTATCCGGTTTAAAAGTTTCCACTTTTATCCACTTTTTAACCGGATAAAAAGTGATCGGGAGAAAGGTAATTTCATCAAATTCATGACTCTCCTGGTTTTTACTGTATGCCGGCATCGTTTTCTACAACAGGGTGACCTTCAGTTCCAAAGAGAAAGGTGACCCACCTCTTCCACTCTCACTTTACCCTTATGTGTTGTTATCTTAATCTAATTTTGGAGGTCGTATAAAATGTGTTTTTCTCTTTCTTTTTTCATCATTTACAAATTTTGTTTCAGGTGCGAAGCTCTCGCCCAAACATTCCGACCACAATGTACATTGTAAACATAACAGAATTCGGCAAAATACACCGTAATTACATGTTCTCTGAAACCCAAAATCGAAATTTTTGTTTCGGGAAGTTTCAAAAGAGTTTTGAAACTATACGGTTATTGAAAAAATGGACTTCTTGATGGAAAGAGATTTTTAAAATTTTCTGAGAAGGGAACTTGATTAGAATTTTTCAATGGAAAAAATTGTCGAAATCACCTAAAACAGATGGACGAAAGGAAGAAATTTACCTCCACTAGTGCATGTTCCCCATTGGAAAGGGGTCCGCGCAGGATCTCTGGTGAATCTTAGATACCTCTCAGGGCCAGCATTCAAGGCAGGGGGGTCCAGAGTTTGATCCCATCGGATGAATGTATCTTCCATTCCTATTTCGTCGCCCATATACGAAACTGACGTCCCAGGAAGCACCATCTGCATCATATGGAGTCCGTCCAACATATCGATGCCGTAACGAGAAGCAACTCGACGTTGGTCGTGATTACCAATCTATAAAATTAAATCAGCCGATACAAATCAAGTTCAATTAATGTACAATAATTTTAGATTAGAATAAACATAAACAAGACATAAACTAATGTCTGAAATGTAATATCGAGTGGCATAACTGTTGGCTCCGAAGGCCAGGAATTCTATTTCTGAGATAACCTTTGAGTCTCCTTCAATACATAGCTAGGCAAAATACCATGCTCTGCAGTTTCATCCGTACATGCATGTCACTGGTTTTTTGTGAGGTTTAGTTTGGTGAGAAATTGATTTTTTCGGCTTTCTAGTTCTTTTTCCGACCTACTGTTTCGATGTTCGACGTGACTCTCGTCTCAAATCGTCGGATAATCGGGGTATATTACTGTAATTTTATACATCCAGAGGTCAATCGATCTGCCCAACAGGTCACTGGCTCTCATGTGCCCGTGTAGTAATTTCGAAGTTCTAGGCGCGCAGTGCAAGGTTACACTTGCAATGGGAAGAAAATATAATAAGAACAGAATGAACTTACCACCCAGTTGGACCACTTCCCAATTGGTAGATTGCTGTACCAAAGCTCAATGATTCTCTTGAAATCGCGGGCACTAGATTGCTGACTCAGAGAGGTGATAAATAGAAAATTGAAAGTAAAATGAGCTCCAGGTTCATCCTCAGTTCCATAATACTTCATTGTTTGTGTTATATTGGAATAAGCCTCCGTTGCCATAAATCTAGAGGTACAAAGAAGGGATGATTTGATGTGGTCTGTACACTGTGGTATAAGTAAAAATATAATGGAAGTGTTCTAGGTCCCTGGTACATGCTATTTTGCCCCGCTTAGGAAAACTGCCGTTCGAACATTGATACACCGTCTTTCTGATGAAGCATTCATTTTTGAAGAAAGTAGTGAATAATTGTATTTGAAATTTTCTAACACCTCAGATTAAATTGGTGGCGAGTCATTTTTCCTAAAACATCGTTTCCTATAAACCTTTACCTACACCTACCCTTACGCCTAAATCCACACCTACACCAGTGTTCGAAACTCGCAGGTGTCAACGCGCCAAATGCGCCTAAGAAATCAGTTATGGCGCCTAAAAATGAAGGCTTGTGTGCCAACGTGTCCCTTAAAAATTCCCCCAAAAAATTCCTACTTTTTTTGTTGGGTGATTTTTTGAAATTTCGACGCATGTCATCGGATTCTGACTTTTCACTAAATGCGCCGTGATATGCGGGCAAACAGTCAATTTGGCCCCTGAAAAATCTTCAATGGCCCCTAAAAATCGAGCTTGATGGGTCACATGGCTCCTGAAACTCAAAGGTGAGTTTCAAACACTGACCTACACCTACACTTACACCTACACTTTTTTCCTTATCGGTTTTTGTCCCATTGCGGATAGTCCTGCAAGTGGATTGTACTATTGACTTTTTTTCTACATGAATTTGTCCTAATTTCAATTTTAAAAAATAAGATACTCATATGTTCAATATGTAGGTTCAAATAACAGGGCAGCATCCTGGAACCCCATGTAAGCTGCGAGGTTTAGTCGAAAACTTTTTTCTTTGATCTACTCATGCTCAAGTTTCGATTGCAATTTATTACGACAATTATCTTTAGGAAAAAAGCTAGTAGAATATTTCATTCCTCGAATTTACTATGATGGGATAAAAACTAGTTGCAAAATTATAGGAGATGTGTGGTAGGGGAAACATTTTAGGAAAAATGACTTGGCACCGATTGAATGGCAAGCTAAGTTATGGGAAAAATCAACGAAAAATTCGCATTAATTCGCAAAAAAATTCCATTTTTGTCAGGGCCGGATTTACGTACTTGCCGCCCATGGGCCATCTGTATTTTGCCGCCCCCTTCTCATTCGTTTTGAAGCATCAATAAAAACCATCAAGTGAACGTTCCGGAGAAGAGGTACATATGACGCGTTTACTCGCGTTGGACACATATTTTGCGAAAGCCCTATTAAAACTTGTAGCAAAAGTTCACGGAACTTCGCGCAAAAGTTAAGTTCTGCAAATCTATCGCTGTGTGGAGTGAGGACTGGACAAGGCCTTCCATTCATAAGAAATGAACGAAAAAATTATGAAAGAACAAACATATTTGATTTAATGATTTTAACTTCTCCGCCGCCGCCGCGCCGCACTGTGTTTGGCGCAATGCGTGAAGTATTCGTTCAGTCTTGTAGGCGCTAATATTGTGTTACATGCCGACCGCCGCCGCCGCCGCCGCGCCGAGGACTTCTCCTTTTCATCTCAAGTCCTCGCCATCATTGCTCTCTGCGCCGCACCACTCCGGGCCAAATTGCGCGTTTGTTTAACCTAACCTAACTCGACTATTTAAAGGTGCTGTCTCTTATATCACCGATAGACGAACACATCAGAAATGACTATAATCGCAGGAAATGAGAGATTTTGTCGCCTTTCCTTGTTTGTAATTTTTTTTTCTGAATCCTATTTTTTTATTACCTACATTTAAACAAATTGCAAGATTTGCCGCCCTCTAAATTTGCCACCATGGGCCGCGGCCCATATGGCCACCCCCTAAATCCGGCCCTGATTCTTGTCAGGGGAGACTTGACAGCGTCTGGAGACTCATACGGCGTTATTCCTTGACACGACAGTATTCGGGGACAAATTAGGGCAAAGAATCCTGAATATGAAGATTATAGTTTCGAAAGGTACTCCGATTCAGTTGCCCTGAAGGGATCATTGGAAATGTTTACCTGGAGTCTCATCACCACCGAATGGACTCTGTTTTTGAAATCCATGCGTCCTTATGACTAACCCACGAAAGGAACTATGTGCCTGGGGAAACTAATGGCTTTACGTTGTTTCTAGAGAAAGCCAGAAATAATAGTTCCTAATTGCGAAAGTTAGTCCAAATATAAAGTGCTTCATAAGTACGGTTAAATCTTAATAACTTACCTGACAGTGTTAGTTTTCGCCGAGTAATCATCTAACAGTTTCCGGAATTCTTTTATGACGTCATAAGTTTCCGGTTGATCCCTCGAATAGATAGGATTCAAATACTGCTGGTCTGTTGGGAGTGCGTCTGGATTGTTCGATCTCGGATTGTCTCTGAGTAACTCATCCTCAAAAATGGTCATCACCGCATCCATGCGGAAACCGTCTACTCCTCTATCCATCCAAAAAGTTAGCACGTCCTGTTTGTTAAAATAGTTTTTCAAATATGCACTATTACAGATTGAAAAATTAGGGAGCTTCCAGCGATACTCAGAAACTGTTTGTGAATATAAGGAAAGAGTGAAGAGAGGAAGAAGGAACAGATGAGGGGCTTGTAAGATATAGACAAGGTGCATAAGTGAAGTTTTTGAAAAAACAGAGTTATTAATGATTTTAAATAGAACTAGTCTTAATGCATATTCTGTGTTGCTTTTCTACTCTTATGAGTAGAATATTCTAGTGATATGAGTAGTTCTCATATGGGTAGGATTGCTACTCATATAAGTAGGAAGTTTTACTCATGTGAGTTGGGGAATTCTGAATAGCATACTCGTCATTTTTAGCAGGGATCAGCTATTGCCAAATCTAATTAGGCGATTAAATTTTTTACATGATACTTAATTGTTGTGCAGATTTTTGTGTAAATTTCAGTGAAATCTCTGCATAATATGAAGCAAATGTCTTAAAATTTTCAACGGATTTCGCACGAACGCTCTCTTGTTAAAACTTTAATAGCCCAGTTAAAGGCAGTAACTGATGTGGCTTGGTTCCTCTTCGCTAAACGCGGGCCGATGGAGATTTAGTGGTAGATTTGGTAGATTAGTTTGTATTTCACTTCCTCATAACCGAATGCGAGTATCACAAAGATCGCTGATATTCCGTCACCTTCCGGTCCAAGTATCACAAGCGCCATGCGACGTTTCAAACTTTCCTCGACCATTTTATTTTTTTACAGAAAAATGGTTCTACGAAGCTGTCCAAAAATTTCACTGAAAATTCTTTGTGCTGCCGATAAAATTCAGTGAAATTTTCGAACAGACTCAACTAACAATGTCTCTGTAAAAAATGAAATGGCGGCGGACATTTCGAAACGTTGCATGACGCTTGTAATACTTTGGCCGGAAGGTGGCAAAAAGATCACTGATATTTCTCTCAGTGAGTTTTTACGAGCATTGTCAAAAAAATTTATATGATATTGCTCATTGCATAGGAATATTGTCGGCATCACACTGAAAAAAAATTCTCGGCGTTTTTACCAAGGTCCGTTGGTACCTTTACCATCGCACTTTTTTTTACCAATTAATGGTAATTTTACCAAGACTGACTAGTAAGCTTACCTGTATTTTTACTGTTTTTTTTCAGGTAAGAAAACCACTTTTATTGGTAATCAATTCCCGGTAACTTTGCCATTATTTATCTCGGTAATTCTACTACAGTCGATAAAAAATATTGGCGTTTTTACCAAGGTCCAGTAAAATTACCGAGAAAGTTCAATAATTTTACCGAGATTTCTCGGTAAAATTACCAATTCCATAAATGGTAATTTTACCAAGAAAAAACTGGGATCAAATAGAACCCTGAATTCTTGGTAATTTTACCCTGTTCTTAGTAAATACACAGAGATTTTTTTTTCAGTGCATTATGGCTACCCCCCTTGCGGGACCAATTAATTGAATCGCGATCGTCCAGGCATTAAACCCTGCAAGGTCCGCAGGAGAATAATTACTTTATTGCGGGCTCTACGGCTTTCTCTGCGTAGCGAAAGTCACCTGATCAAGCGGGCACTTATTAGGAGCTTGGCTCTTGCTACCAGACGATGAAATTAAGATATCACCTTCATCTCTTGCACGACGAGTGGGTTCCTGTAGTTCAGATCGGGTTGTTTCGGATGGAACTGATGTAAGAAGTACTGCTGTCGATCCTCGTTCCAAGTCCAGGCTGACCCTCCAAAATCTGACAGCTAAAATCATGATTCATAGCAATCAATGGGTAAATTTTATTTGTGAACGTCCAGGAATAATACGTCAGGGGCCGTCCAAATGTTGGAGGGAAATATATTCCTAACTTTCCTATTGAGTAATGTTCTATCAGAGGAAAATTGGCAACGTCTAGATCTTCATACGACGTTTTTCCGTCCCAGCAAACTTGCTACGGCGGCAGCGAAGCCTGGCACAGTTGTTCTGGGACACTTCGTATAAACTGTGCAACGCTGCATCATGACTGATTGCTAGATCGTGGGATCACAACCGTCTTAATACCGGAGTAAGATCAACTGATGCAATTGTGCCCCAGAGACTTGAAAAATTAATTATCGTTGTTCTTTCAATCAAAAAACTTCAAAATATCAGCATTTTTATTAGAAAAAATGCAATTTTTGCATTGCTGTGTTGCCAAAATGAGCTTTAAATTCAAGCGAAATTTTTCATTGGAAGATTGTCTCATTAGTAGGGATGTAATATTCGTTTTAGCACACTTTTTATTTTACTTATCTTGAGCACAAACTGCACGTGTGCTCGTAATGAGCACAGATGCAGTTTGTGCTAAAGATAAGCACAAAGTACAAATTGTACTCGTTTTAAGTGTGTGCTAAAACGCATTTTTCATCCCTACTCTCATTATGAGGTTTTGCTTGGGTCAGATTTGAACGAACTCCCTGCATTTCCAAAATGGCACAGAAAGGCCCTCTTTTAAACAGGCTCATATGAAGATGGAGTTGTTGACATGATCGCGAAAAGAAAATTCTCAGCGCCATTTCCTCGTCCAGTGTCTCGTTGACTTGCGGCGAGGAACATGCCTAAGTTTGCGACATAGGAGGAAAGTACAGATACATAGAATGACTATTTTTGCATTATAATAATTGTACTTTAATTTATTGTTTTTGGCATACTTACCCAGTTATTGGGTGGAAACATTCGACCATTAACCACTTTAGCATCCTGCCAAACGTAATAGTCCGTGTAAGGCTCCTGCCTGCTGACAGACTTTTTGAACCATTCGTGTTCATCGCTCGTATGATTTGGAACAAAATCCAAAATCAATTTCAGTCCTAAAATGGAGAACCAAACATGCAAGAGCTTTCTTCAAGGAATATTTAAATATAATATAATTTTACACGAATGTCTCGTTGATTGTGAGAGAATATTTTTGTGATGGCTCTTGTCAGCCTCTGTTTGTAAAACGTTCACATGCAAAACTATGCTGCCGTGCTAAGGAAAAACGCCGTATGAGCCTTCAGACGTTGCCAAGTTTCCTTCGATAAAAACTGAATTTACCGGGAAAATTGTGAATATTTCTTCCCAAAATTTTCAGACAATTTTGTACGCACTTTAGTCTAAAACATCTGAAAATGTCATAGGAAAATGTGCATGATTGTCGTCCAAAATAATGTTTTATCAAGGGAAATTTGGCAACTCTCGAATGTTCATACGGCGTTTTTCCTTAGCACGATAGTATGGTCAGAAATTTCAAGTATTTTTGACTGCTTGTGTTAAAAACTCTCGCCTAGTCTACAGACTCCACGCACTAAAATAATTCAAAAATCCATTTTTGATGACAGGAAAACCCCTGAATTGTTTTTTATTGCGTTCCACTGAAAATCAAAGAATGTTTCTGTATTCCCTCCAAAAATCCAATCCAATTGTATGTAATTCAAAGAACTAATTTTTTATGTATAGTGTTACAATATGACACAAGACATGTGTGACGACTTAATTGCGGATGCCCACTCCATCTATGCTCGAAGGTAAATCATCAATTGTGACCCGAATCCATGAAAACAAAAAGTGTGATACAGGCCTTGTTACACGTTAATAAATCACCCTCATCGACCGATCCGTTTTTTAGTCCCCAAACACACTTTGCTTTTTAGGATTCAAGAGTAACTTTTAAAATCATCGCAAATCGAAGTTGCGCTTGTGTCTAGTGGAAGATCCAGCAATGGAGATGTTGCATGTGTAAGGAATTTGTGATTTGACTGTTGATTCTCATGTAAAAGTTCGCGAGAAACACGATGTGGCTACTGGTTTTCTCTGAAATTAACTTCCAAGCTCAAAAAAGCTCTCAAGCTGAGGCCAAAATGGAGGGGATATCCCACGCTATTCTGAGAGTCCACCTCTGCACCAAAACAAATTCTCCATGCAAAGATAGGGAGCAAATACATTGACAGGGTTGCCGTGATTTTAGTTTAAGAGTCCCCAAGTAAGGTGTCAGCCCTGTCAATGTATTTGCTCCCTATCTTTGCATGGAGAGTTTATCTTGATGTAGAGGTGGACTCTCGGGATAGCGTGGGATATCCCCTCCATTTTGACCTCAGCTTGAGAGCTTTTTTGAGCTTGGGAGATGATTTAGGAGAAAACCAACGGCCACATCGTGTTTCTCGCGAACTTTTACATAAGAATCAACAGTCAAATCGCAAATTCCTTACACATGAAACATCTTCATTTGGCGACACCGGATTTCCTCCATTTAATCTTATGCTAAATAATCGATTCTTGTCGACGCATCTGCCCCCCCCCCCCCCCCCCGAAAAAAATCGATACATTTCTATAGGTTTAAATGGAGGAATGAAAATGTTACCGATGTTCTGGATCCACCCATGCTTGTGTCTTTGCTTTCGTAGCCGGTAAAAATTCAAGTTATACTTACCGTTTTCATGGAGCAAGTCTTTCAAATTTTCAAGATCTTGCATGGTTCCGAAAATTTGCTCAATTGCTCTATAATCAGCGATGTCATAGCCAAAATCTGCCATAGGGGATTTGAAGATGGGCGAGATCCACACGGCTTTAATCCCAAGTTTAGCAAGGTATCCTACTTTTTCCACGATTCCTTCATCAAAAGACAAAGTTTTGAGGTTTTAAAATCATTGATAAGTAAGCGCCTGCCATAGCCTGCACAGACTGGTTTTACTTAAACAGTTATGAACAGTTTTGAAATATTGCACTTTCAATAATTCGCAGCGTGCTTTATACGCACATTTACTGATCTGGCGTTCTATCTAACGAACGCTTTGTGGCCATCCGTCGTAAAATTGCACACTTCTTCCAGTGCGGCCATACCATTTTCCCCCTCTAAACTTCGATTACATCCACAAAAGAGATTTTAGTAACAGGGCCGGATTCACCTACTTGCCGCCCCCTTTTCATTCGTTTTGAAAATCAATAAAAACCATCAAGTGAACATGCCAGCGGGGGAGGGGTGCATAGGACGCATTTACTCGTGTTGAACACATTTTTTGGGAAAGCCCTATGAACACTACTAGCAAAAGCTCACGGAACTTTGTGCGAAAGTTAAGTTTCGTAAACCTATCTCTGTGTGGACAAGGTTTTCCATTCATGAGAAATGAACGAAAAAATTATGAAAGAACAAACATGTATGTGGTTTAATGATTTAAACTTCCGCCGCCGCGCCGCGCAGACCACACCGTGTTTGGCGCAATGCATGAAGTATTCCGACAGTCTTGTAGGCGCTATGCGTTTCACGCCGACCGCTGCCGAACGCACTGTGTTGGACGCAATGCGTGAAGTATTCACGCAGTCTTGTAGGTGCTATGCGTTTCACGCTGACCGCAATGACCGCACCGTGTTTGATGCAATGCGTGAAGTATTCGTGCAGTCTTGTGGGCGCCAATATGTGTTACATGCCGATTGCCGCGCCGAGGGCTTCTCCTTTTCATTTCAAGTCCTAGTCGTCATTTCTCTCTAAGTCGCGCCGTTCCAGACCAAATTGCGTGTTTGGTTTCTCTCTCAACTCGACTAATTAAAGGTACTGCCTCTTGTATCACTAAGAGACTACAAAATTAGAAATCACTATACTCTCAGGATTTTGTCGCCTTCTCTCGTTTGTAATTTTTTTTGTAAATCCGATTTTGTTTTATACCTACACTTAAAAAAATTGCAAATTTTTGCCACCCCTTAGATTTGCCGCCCCTTAGATTTGCCGCCATGGGCCGCGGCCCATATGGCCACCCCCTTAATCCGGCCCTGTATAGTAAAACAATTTCAATAAAATAGAAAAGCTCTCCATGTTTTGGGCAAAATCATACATTTCACGCATCAGGTTTTCAGTGATATCAAATGGAACTTCTGAATCATTTAGACGTGCGCAGCAACATCCCTCGCAACTTGGTGACTTTTTGAAGAAAGGTGCTTTCACCAAACTTTCGACGTTTAAAAAATCCGGCATGGTAGCAAATTTAAAGGTACCCTCGTAAAAAAGGAGACAAAAAATCCGCTGCCAACCACGGATGATCCGAGAGCGGATAATCGAAGATCTACTCTGCCGTACTAAAGACACACGCCGTATGAACCTTCAGGCGTTGCCAAATTTGTTTTGATAAACCACGAATTTTCCGGAAAGTAAACAATTTTCTTTCAATTGGTCAAAGCATTTTGTTCTAGACTTTATCTAAATAGTCTGGAATTTTCAAGAATAAAGATTCATGACTTTCCTCAAAAATAAACATTTTATCGAAGGAAATCTGGCAACTCTCGGATGTTAATACGGCGTTTTTCCTTCGCACGGCAGTACTGTACCTATATGCATAGTTTCAGTCAAAGTATGTTAAAAATGTATTTAATCAGTTTCCAACCGAAACTTGCACTAACCATTTCGGCCACCGAATAATTTAGACGTAAAAGGCCGCTCATAATCGTGACGCTCTGAGAGGGGGGGAGGGGAGTCGAGAAGAGCGTTACGCCATTTTGTTTTTACGTGTCAAAGGATAGGGACCTACGTCACGAAAGCGTTATAAGAAGGGAAGGTTAAAGATGCCGGAAAAGTGCATCACGTATATTACAGAGGCTCACTGGCGGACCCAGCAAATCGGCAACGTTATTTTTCTCCATTTGAACCTATGAAAATGTATCGAATCTTAGAGGGGCCAGATGCTCCGACAAGAATCGATTTTTTTCCAAAGGTTTAAATGGATGAAATCCGGTGTTGCTAAATTGCTTGATCCGCCTCTACAGAGGCTCTCTAATTTAGCTCTACCGTGTCATTTTAATTACGAAAACCAAAACTTAATTGAAAAAATTTCTGACGAAGAGTTCCACTAACCTTTCAGGTCACCAACTCCATCGCCATCGGAATCTTTGAAAGATCTTGGATATATTTGGTAGATAATGCCTCTCTCCCACCATTCCAAATCCCTTTGAGGAATAGCTTTCAACAATTCGCATCTAGTGGAGCTCAGTAACACGCATAAGGCTGCAGCAATTTGAATGAACGTGCCCTGTAACGATATAATAATAGCATAATCTGATTTACCCTCTACTTACAACCAGTGTTCGAGACTCACTTTTGAGTTTTAGGAGCCATGTGGCGCATGAAGCTTGATTTTTAGGGGACACTGAAGATTTTTCCGGGGCCAAGTTAACTTTTTGCCTTTATTACGGCGCATTTAGTGAAAAGTTAGACGCTAGATGTTTCAGTTACAAAACTAGTAGCTGTAACTGAAAGAAGATTTCGATGAATCACCAAAAAGAATAATTAGGATTTTTTGAGAAGGGGGAGGGGGGAAAATGGGGGAAATTTTTAGGGGCCACGTTAGCGCAGAGCCTTCATTTTAGAGGCGCCATCATGATCGATTTCTTAGGCGCATTTGGCGCGTTGGCGCCTGTGAGTTTCAAACACTGCTTACAACACTGTTTTCGAATTTTTAAAAATTACACGCAGACTTTTTTCTATAAAAGCTCGCCAATATCGAGGTCTAATTCGATAGCATTTAGCAAAAACGAACGCGTTTACAGTGTTATAAAAATGTTGCTTCTTCATAATTATCGCATTAAGTATAGCAAAAAGTTTTTGCTTCCCATAAAAAAATTATGTTAACTTTAAGGAAAAATAATTCTGTACATTTTAATACTGTGCGCATATTGAGTATTTTTAACAAGAAAGAAGAAGTTGCACGAATTTGAAAACGCTATAATAGCGCTGGCTCCTTTCTGCTAAATGCGATTTAATTTATATGAGAGTATACATCGATTTTGAAACTGAAAAGATAAAGAACAGATTGCCATCTTGGATTTTTGAACTTGGAAAATTTGAGTTGTAACTCAAGTTTACTCTCAAAGAATGCCACCTTACACCAAGTTTTACAAAAATCGATAGAACAATAGCCGCATAGATTTGTAATTTTTCGTAAGAAGCTTTCATTTAAAAAACTAAACAAGAATTAGTATGGTTTTCGGGCGCCAAAGTAGAATAGAAAGTCGGTTCACAGGAAATTGCTAAAAGTAAAAAGAAAACTTAAAAATTAAGGCATTCGTATGACTTATTGGTCTTATACGAATATTTAGGCACGATAAACGGCGCACAATGAATCGAGTCAAAAGGAGAGATCGGACAAAATTTTGAAACTTTAAACTCTTGCAACTCCGTTCATACAAAACTCTGAGGTTCTATAAGTGAATCCATTCGTTTCCTCGTGAAATTTTCTTCTACGAGCACCCCTCGAAATTAAAAATGTAACGGAATAAACATCACATTTTGCAGTTTTAGTAATACATTTCATGTCCGACCTCTCTAATTGACTCGATCCACTGTAACCCGCAACGAAAAAAACACACACATCACACACCGAAAACATTTCATCAGCTTTAGTCGAATACGATCTGAATTTCTAGCTCGCTCGGTAGAAGCCATTAGTGCTACACACAGTCCATCGAGATGAATCAATCAGAGAATCCTCAGATGCTGTATATCAAAGGCGCTCCACATAAAAGCCGCCCTGCTAGTTCTGATAAGACACTAAATTTTTCCTGTCCATCCAAGCGCGCTACACACAAAAGTTCATTCTGCCTCTGATAAGGCACTAAAGCTCGCTACATTTCTCCCAGTGCCCGCGGTTTACTCCTCGTCCAATAAGTGAGGGAAAGGGACCCTCTTGCAACTTGCAAGATACAGGCGACCGAGGAGAAAGTGAGGAAATGAGAGAGTGGATTATAATCTGTAGACTGACGATAGGTACAGTTGAACTTCATTTTGCAACGAAAAACACCACTGTTTTTGGCCCTTCCATAAGAGCGCCTGTTCGCATAAAGAAATTAATGGTACATATCCTGTTTCTAAAATGAGCCGGATATATTGGTAGTTTATTTCAGAATGTAATCCAGTTTCACTGAAAAAAAAAGTTACGGGCTATATAGACATACCGTCCGTTTCGGGTTCAGAGGTTAGAAGTTCCGGGTGCTGGAGCCGTAGCTTAGATTGATCCGGGTGCTAAGCCCTGAACTTCCGGCCTCTGAGCCCGGAACGCGGACGGTAGGTATGTGTCTATACAGCCCGTTAATACGGCTTCCATGGCAGGAGCTTTTTTTCAGCGTTGATTTATTAAAGCACGATTTTATCATATTTTGACAAAAAGTCTCTGATCAAAGCAAAACGTGATTCAATAGCTTATTAATAATAAAAATCGCAATACACACTTAGGTATACCTCGATTGCGCTGCTTTTTACTTCTTTTAAAAGAAAGAAAAAAATTATGAAAATTACTGATCAAAATGTGCACAAAATATCCCGCACAGAGTGAATAATGATAAAAAAACATTAGTTGCGTAGCTAAAAATTCTCTAAAGGGGGGGGGGGGGTCCATTAAAAAACGTGACGGTAAATTTACATAATTTTGTGTACGTCCCAGATAATATTTTATGCCTGCCCTCCAAAAGGAAAAAAACGGTACAATTAACGAGGCTAAGGGGGGGGTCCAGACCCCCTGGCCCCCGCTCCCCTTGTCAACGCCACTGAAAAACATTAAAAGAAGATGTTTATTTTATTTATTTATCTATCTATTTATTTATTTATTTATCTATCTAATTTATTTATCTATTTTATTTATTTATTTTTTATACGGACAAAATTTAATGAGAAATCTGCAAATTCTTAAACCAAGCAAAGAGCTTTTTGTGACTCACATTGTACCTAGTCAGATTATTGAAGGCGAACTAGTCGCAACAAGCGCGAACGCGAACACAGTAAAATAATGTGATTAGTGTAGACCGGTGATAGCGAAATATAACTTGGGTCGTCAGTCAGTGTCAGATAAATTTTTTAGTCTGGAAGGTAATTACAAGCAAGCATCTAGGAAATTTAGGAAAATAAGCCTACGAAATAAACTTAATTAAACTAATATTTTTCGAGAAAGCACGGCAGATTTTTAACTGTTCATGGTCGTTTGTCCGCACAAAATAGGTAGTGAAAAACTTGCAATGTCGCAAACTGAGGTATAAATGCTCTTAACCTCGCCGTCATTGATGAGAAAATGTGTAACTGCGCATGCGCTGGAGTGAAATTTCAGCGGCAATCGTGATCTTCTACCATCAAGTCGAAGTGATACTCTCGAAGGCGCTCTCAGCAACTATTCTACCACGAAAGTATTGCACAGTATCAGACGAAAATGAAGGCGCACTATAGCGCACGAGAGTGGACTGGTATCGTAGAGTCCTACTTACCGTGCGATATCTCGCTCCTGTTCGATCGATTTTTGTGAAACTCGACACAAGATGGCTGTTTGTGACTGGGAACTTAAATCTCAACTCAAATTTTGAAAATGCAAAAATCCAAGACGGTGAAAGTGGCCTAAAATGATATCTTGAGGCCTTCAAAATTATACAACTTGCATTCGAATCAATTCTTTTCCCGTTGAGTTTCAAAATCTATATACCTCAGGTAAATTGGGCCTTAATCTCTGCGCGTTCTTAAACTGTTTAATGCTGAAACTGTATTTCTATTCATTTATTTATTTTTCTTTTACTTTTAAATTTCATTACTCATTTGATCATTCGAAGCAATGAAATGTGATATTTGCATCATGAGCACAACCAGTCTACTAGACGTAAAATTATGCATGGATGAAGCATTTAAAATTAAAAATCTAAAGTTAGGATTTAAACTAAGGAAACTAAGGATTAATTAGTTCATGGTCCAAATGATTCCTTAATAGTTTATAGCGTCATAGTTCATAGTTATAATCATACCATTTTGCGTATCCTTGATGATGAAGAAATGAACTGCCAATGGTAGGGGGAAAATCACTTGATTTCGAAAAACGTCAAATGTGCATCAGGCGCGATTTCAAAAATCGATGGGAAGGTGGATCAGAAAAGAAAATTCAACAAATAATTATGGTTATCAAGAAGTGGTAAAGGATAGTTTTTTCGTGTTTGATTGGCACTTAAAAAAACTAAAATGAAACAGACCTGATTGCACCGACACTCAGTGGAAAATGGCTCTCATATTTAATTTTTTATTTTTTTTTATTTTTCAAAAAGAAGACGTTGTCGATATTTGTGTGATATTAATTGCGAAATTAATTTTCAGTTGATACACAACAAAGCTACGCACACCTTTAAATGCTCACGCACAAAAAATAATCAACTGATTTTAATGGAGTTAGCAGGATTCGCATTCAAAACATGTTGTCCGTCTTTTTCATACTTCGACTGTGCATCTTTTGGAGGGTTAAAGTCCGTAAACCGATGAAAACTAAATTTTGCACTCTTCAACCTGAATTTTCATTCTGAAGGAGGGAAAAGCAGGAGGAATTTTCGGAAGGTCACTGTTGGACGTGCGCGCGAAAATTCACGACTGCGACTGTGCGAAATCATTGTTCCGCCTGAGGTCCCGAGACAAAGTCCCAAATCGCAAAATAAGATGCAGAACGGATTGGGCTACGCCGCACAATGGATCAGGTCAATCAGAGAGGCCGGACATAATATTTTTAACTAAAAATACAAATTCTATTATTTAATTCGTCACATTTTAAATTTTAAGGGGTGTTTCTGAAAGAAAATTTCACGAGGAAACCAATGAAATCACTTTTAATACCTATAAAAATTTTGTATGAACGGAGTTATAAGATTTTAAAGTTGCCTTATTTTGTCCGCTCTCTACCATTGAATCGATCCACCGTGCGAAGCACAAGGGAACGAGCCAATGGGAGAGGTCGAACATGATGCGAAAACTTTAAGAGCTTATATCATTGGCAAATTCAATAGGTTGGCAACATCGTTTCCTCCCCCATTTAAACCTATGGAAATGCATCGATTCTCAGAAAGGTCAAATGCTGCTACAAGAATCGGACTACATTTTGCAATTTGGAGCTATAAATTCTGGCTCTTCTGAAAAAACACTTATGTGCATAGGGAAACTAATGGCACATACGTTGTTTTTAAACCGGGCTAGAATTTATAGTTCCAAATTGCAAAATATAGTCCAATCGATTATTCAACTCAGGATGAAATGAAAGAAAGCCAATGTTGCCAACCTGCTGAATCTGCATCTAGCTTGGATCTTCGTTAATACTACTGGAAAAAAAGTCGCTTGGATCTAGAGTCCAGACTCTTAAAAACATCGACAAGAAAGAATGCGCTTGATTCCATCAGACTTTTTGCTTGAATCAAAAGGAAATCCGCCTAAATCAAGGGGCTCAGTTATTCGATTCAAGGAAAACTCGGATTGAATCAAGAGTATTTTTTCTTCTCGTGTTATTAAGAGTCTAGACTCTAGATCCAAGCGACTTTTTTCCAGTGAGTGTAGAAGTGTGAAAGTGGCTCTATGGAATTTCTAATAAAATTTCCGTTACAGAGTACCCTTTGAAATGCATATCGTAACGATACTAAAATCATAATTTACAGTTTTAGTTTAAAATTTCATGTCCACCGGCTTGTTCCACTGTGCGCCGAGCTGTGACACGAGGCGCAAGTACTAGATCTGGCGGGAAAATTACCGCCTTTTAACGAATGAAATAATGGCGAAGTCTTTTTTAGTGTCATTTTTGTGTCCATGTGTAGATGGCGGTGGTTGGGCCACTAATCAAACACTGGAAAAAAAACACATTTGGACCTAGAGTCCAGACTCTTAAAAACATCGAAAAGAAAAAATACTCTTGATTCTATCAAATTTAAGCTTAAGTCAAGAACCAAGCCTCTTAATTTGAGCGGATTTCCTTTTGATTTAAGCTTAAATCTGACTGAATCAAGAGGCCTTTTTCTTGTCAATGTTTTCAAGAGTCTGGACTCTATATCAAATGTGTTTTTTTTTCCAGTGAACTTTTGTTGTATCAAAAAATGCGAAAAGCGGCGGAGGTCCCATATCTCTTAAGCTCTGGGCAAGAGATACAAAATATTATTTTCCAAAATGTGAAATTCCATGATTTTAGTGGAAAATCATGAATTTTTTGAAAAATTTTTAATAGACTTAATAATAGATCATAAATTGGCTAAAAATTGTGGAAACTCAATTTTGAAATCTTTAAATTGAAATTATCATACGCCGAACTTCTTCGTTCCTCGTCGATTTATCAGCTTTTTGTTGCGAGTTCCATTCTAAGGACATGAAATTTTATATGAAGTAATATGAAGCTCCTTCAGAAAAAAGGCACTTCATGCAGGGCCGGATTTTCCTACTTGCCGCCCATGGGCCGCCAGTATTTTGCCGCCCCCTTCTCATTCGTTTTGAAACATCAATAAAAATCATCAAGTGAACGTTCCAGTGGGGGAGGGGTGCATAAGAATCGTTTACTCGTGTTGAACACATTTTTTGGGAAAGCCCTGTCAACACTACTATAGCAAAAGGTCACGGAACTTTTAGCGAAAGTCAAGTTTCGTAAACCTATCTCTAATGGACAAAGCCTTCCATTCATAAGAGATGAACGGAAGAATTGCGAAAGAACAAACACAAAATTTGGTTTAATGATTTTAACCTCTGCCGCCGCGCCGCGCCGACCGCACCGTGTTTGGCGCAATGCGTGAAGTATCCACGCAGTCTTGTAGGCGCTATGCGTTTCACGCTGACCGCACTGTGTTTGGCGCAAAGCGTGAAGTATTCGTGCAGTCTTGTAGGCGCTAATAGGTGTTACATGCCGATTGCCGCGCCGAGGGCTCCTCCTTTTCATCTCAAGCCCTCGTCATCATTTCTCCCTGAGTCGCCAAAATGTGTTCCAGGCCAAATTGTGTGTTTGGTTTCTCTCTTAACTCGACTAATTAAAGGTGCTGTCTCTTGTATCACTGAAAGACGACAAAATTAGAAATTACTATACCTACTCTCAGGAAATGAGTGATTTTGTAGCCTTTTCTTGTTTGTAATTTTTTTTCTAAATCCGATTTTTTTTATACCTACATTTAAAAAAATTGCAAAATTTGCCGCTCCCTAGATTTGCCGCCATGGGCCGCGGCCTGTGTGGCCACCCACTAAAATATTGAAGCAAAGGTGATGTTAGAACATCGCAGGCATCCGTTGTTGGTAATGGTTCAGGTATATTTCGTCATGGTTTTATGGACTTTTGTCCTCTTTACATGTTTAAGTAACTGTTACATGTTGAAGCTTGTCACCCACAAAAGGTAAAGTTTGCTAAGATAGTTAGAATCTCTGAAAATTTTTTAACTGTTCTGAAAAACACAAATTACTCGCATCAATTTCGCAACTTCGAAATGTGATTTCGCTTTATACCTTCTGACCACCGCAACTTTACACCGGCTACCTTCTCTTTGTCATCTCCTTTCGGCACCTATTTGTCCCTTTTCATTTTACCATACATAAGAGTCGCTCTCACAGCGCTTTCTGGCGCACTCTGCGACGCCTAACTTCTCATCATTTTACCACTCACTAAATATTGACGTAAGCATAGATGATACTTAGTAAGAACTTTTGAGGGGAACGAGTGAGGGGGAGGACTTCAAAATAATAGCTTCTTATGAACTATGGAGATTCCTTTTAGACATGGACGGAAAACAATAGACCATTAGACAGGGAACGAAATTAAGCAATAACGAAGCAATAATTAAACAATAATTTGCCATTCCTCAATCAAATTGTGCGTAGAAGACGATGGGCGTACTAGAATATTCCAAATCCAATTCATACATGAGAAAACAGAGTTTTTTGTTCACGTCAGTTCACACTTCCACTAATTAAAAACCACAAAGACCACTCTAGTCGAATCAAGCATGAAACAGCTTTCGGCATATTGTGCGATGGAAGAATTTTTCTGTGCGGTGAATTTTTTTACGAGATAAAAGGTGACATGTATCAGATGCAGAGGGAAATGGGTTTGAAACCAAGCTTCAGTCATATATCTGATGTGCGTGTTTTCGAGGACTAATTTGACCCACATTGATGATGATTTTTCCGCGGGCCGGACGTTTTTTAATGTTTATAGTGTAAAATACACAAGCTAATTAATTCCTCTTTTGTGAATTGATTTTGGAAGTTTTTAATGAAGTCAACATTGACGGTCAACAATGAAGTTAACATTGTTGACTTCATTAAAAACTTCCAAAATCAACCTCAATATGCTGTTCACTCACACTACACTACTCTCTCTACGCACAGGAGGGAAGGTAATCTAGGACTAAGCTACGGGGCCCCTTTTCCCGCAGCTGCAAGCAAAGAGGAAAATTTAGCGAAAATTTTTTAGTCCTGCTGAAGAACCCACAGAGATAGAAACAGGGAAGAATCTTTAAAAATCGTATACCTAAGTAAGTCCTAAAATGGACTAAAACTAAAACAAAGGCGTGAAATAATGAAACAAGTGACGATCGAGCCAAATAGAGCCTCAACGAATTAGCCACTTCATTTGAAATCGACACGCTTGACTTAAAATGAATGCAATTTCATTTCAGCCACTCGTTCTGTTCTATTCAAGCAGGTGTGGGTGAATGATCTGACCAACGTAGGTACACTGTTTCAAAATTGAGCGTTAACGTAATTTTCATTATGATCTTTTCTTAGGCTTTCTTTTAGGGTTCACCCTTAAATTACTCAACACTGAATTTTCGATCCCCAACAGCCAAAAGTTTCGGGATTCCTTTGAAATTTTTTCAAAAATTCAAAGAAAGTTCCGGAAAATCCAAAAGATTCGGAACATTTCGGGAATTTCAAAAGTCCCGGGAAAAATTCAGAAAAATTTCAAAAGTTGCAGAATTTGGAACTAGTTCCCGGAAATGAGAGCAGCTAGAATGCGGAAAATGCAGAATGCGGTTGGTATGAAACTGTAGTATTAGTAATTACCCAGAAAACGATGCCAAATTGACCGCTTTAAATGAGTATTCCATGGAGTCACAGAGTCCTAAAAATGACACGTTCCGCTGATACCGCCAGGATTTTCGGCAATTATAAAAGGAAAAAAGACTCAAAGAATCTCGAGTTCCAAAGAGGAGAGAATGTCGGTGACTAAAGTCAGAATTAGCATATCGATGGCTAATGTGCGAGACTACATATCTCCATTTGCACCGTTGTAGACTTCCAGCCATGCTTTATCTTTTCCTTAGAAAGCTAGTCAACGTAATTTTTTGAAAACGTCCTGGATTTTTCTTCTCTGTCAGTGGAAAATTCTTCATAAATTTCAAGCTGTAAATTTGACTTGTCCCTCTTCGAAAATATAAACTATGGACAGATATTTTGAACATTGCAATGGAGATACGTGGTATCGCACCTTAGCCATCGATATTTGAAAATTTGCTGTGAATTTTCCTTTTTCACTCATCTCACGAACGACACATCTGTTAATATTTTCACCTGGGAATAAGAGCCTTTACAGAATAGTCTACCCACCCACTCGGTTCCTCTCTGTTTGACTTGATCTGACTAATTTCCTATACTAAAAGTTAATAATTGTAGGTC